TGTGATAGAACATAGGATTTGGAAATGCATACTGGTTGGTGTGGTACATAAACTGTAGGGCTTCTTGCCATTTGTTGACCCCTTCTTGTGTTGTCAGGTCAAAATTTTGTAGCGAGTTCCCATCCATGTTGTCAGATGTAACCTGAAAACAAAACAGATGCATAAGATATATTGTTTTGTTTGCCTGAAATAGTTAGCAATCTGTGATTGTGCTGATCCCCCCTCTCTCTGTGATTGTGCTAGTATGAAGGAAAAATATTGTAAATTGTCCTTGCATAGAAATAAATTGTCTCTTGTAATCTATGATCTGTGTTTGTTTTAGATGAAGGATGATGGAGGTAGGACAAGATGTGGGGGCTGTCGGATCTGTGATTGTGCTAGTATGAAGGAAAAAGATTGTAAATTGTCTTTGCATAGAAATAAATTGTCTCTCGTAATCTGTGATCTGTCATATGTGATCTATGTTTGTGTTAGATGAAGGATGGTGGAGGTAGGACAAGATGTGGGTGCTGTCGGATCTATGATTGTGCTAGTATGAAGGAAAAAGATTGCATAGAAATAAATTATGTCTTGTAATCTATGATCTGTCCTATGTGATCTGTGTAAACAGGTTCTTACTTTTGGTCTTGTTCTGTTTCTCTAAACAGGTTGATTCCAATGCATCCTAATTTGGTTGTGCCTAGGTCTGGGACTATGTCAGTTTGTTAGAGGTAAGCTCTTTGGATTATCTTTCTACACTGTGACAATGAACTTGTTGTTTTCTCCAGTTTCAGCAAAAAATGTTAGGCTAATCACTACTACACTAGTTTCTTAATGGGAAAAACTGTTAGGCTGCTGGGACAACGGCAAGAAGGCACAACCTCCAAAAAGTTTAGGTGGTTCGATCATTGTCATGGGTTTAGTGCTGAATTGTGGTGTTAGTGTGGTGGTCATTTGTGTATGTTTTTTTCTAGTGCGCCTCGATTGTTTATTAGGATGCATGGTAGTGAGCCCCATCTTTGTTGTAGTTTTATGTGGCCATGTGGATGGTAGGTTGAGAGAAGCTATGCTGAGATATTGTTAGGGGTTTACTGTGGACAATTAGGGCAACATTTATGTTTGCAGATGCTATGAAAATGCCCATTTCTCAGTTAATGCTCCTGTTTTCCCAGCCCCATAAGCATCTCACCTGCTGTTTTCCTGGAGGTTCTCCAGTACTAATTTAGTACTTTGTGCCTAGAAATTGGTCTTCGACGAGTCATCCTCTTGATTTTCAAACTAATGGGTTAAATTCCTTGGCACAGATCGTTTGAGATCAACAAAATAGGGATCTAACACAAGGAAGGGTTGGATCTGGTGTGTACTGACCTTGGATGATGTAGAGGTGAGTCCTGCCTCCTTGGATCTAGTGATCCTCCCCCCTCCCCACCCCTTTTTTCCTGCTCTGATCTGGGGTTTTCACCCTTTTTTGCCCTGGTGTGCGTGAGCTCCTCCTCAAGAACAGATCGATGGATCTGTTTGGTTTGCTTCTTTATCAAGTAGGTCATATATAGGACACACATTTGTTTGATGGGCTAATGTGCCTTGTAGTTATTAACATGGGTCATTTTGTCGTTAGGTTTGTGGGCTACAACAGAGTACAATAACAAGTACAACAGATCTGCTCTATTTTTGGCCCTTGTTTCACAAAGAATACAAGTACAAGTACAAGTACAACTACAAGAAGATTTGTGTGCTACTTCTTTGAAAAACACATGTTTTTTCCTTGCAATATTTTCGTGTGCTACTCATGGAAAAAACACATGGATTTCCTTTTGTCTGTTGTGACTCTTTTTGTGTGCTAGGCTGCCAAAATTCGTGTGCTACCTTGTTATAAAATACATGAATTTTTTGGTTCCTGTAATCTGTGTGTTTTTTTTGGGACAAAACACACGTGTGCTAGTTCTCTCTAAAACACTCGAGTGTGAGGTAGACAGGCTCAAAAAATATGCCCACTAAAAAGATCAGTCCCGATGGAGCGCTGTTGTTCGTGGCGATGCTGGCGTCGCGGCTGGTCGTGTCGATGCTGGCGCCACTCCAACGTGGTGCGCTGCCTAGCGTGCTCCTCGTACCTGAAGTCCTCGCGGCAGGGCCTCTGCTACGCCTGTGCCGGCGGCTGCGGCAGGGCCCTACACCTCCACACTCCTCCACACTCCTAACAAATTCAAGGATGCCTTCTCCGTAGAGCTCTGGGCTATCTGCCGCGACGACCTCATCTTCCTGCCCAGGGAGGCGTCCACGCCCTCGGCGGTCTGGGGTTGCTCGTCCTCTGCATCATCGTCAGCAAGTCGATCGCGCTACTCGACACCAACACCATGTGCCTCGCCGTGCTGGGCGTCGGGCGCCAGCCAGCACACGAGCTAGGCGAACCTATTGTCACCGCGGGACTACGACGGGCACGGCACGCACGTGCCGTCCACCGCGGGCGGCACCATCGCTGAAGCGTGCCGAGGTGAGGGGCAAGTTCGTCGTCTGCGACGTGGTAGAACGGAACGACGACGTACTGGCCAAGGGGCTTGTGGTGAAGCATGCTCAAGGTCAGGACGTTGGCCTCCGCGTACTAGCATTCATTTCATTCAGCTTCGACCGATATATAAGTTCGAGCCCCTTACAGCAGCCGCCGGCTCATGGAGCATCTCGGACACCGGCAGCACCCTACGGACCCATCGTGGTGATGTGCCTCCCGAGCGCCGTGCCGGCGATGCGGACCAGGTCTTTGGTGAGCGCCACGCCCAGGTTGCCCTCCTCGTCCTCCATCTGCAGCGCTGCGTTGAAGGCCGCGTCGTCCATGCTGTGGTGCGCACCAGCTCGTACTTGCGTCCGCGCGGGACGTCCGTCACCGGCGCCGCGCTCGCCCACGCGGAAGATGCAGTTGGTCACCGGCATGTGCTTGTTCTTGTCGAAGTACCAGTTCAGGCTCGTGTTCTTGCAGGGGCACAGCGTGCCTGAGCAGGGAGGAAGTTGGAGAGCAGCGCAGGTGGGAGGAGGTTCGGTTCAGGGCCTGATTGGTTCAGGGTGCATATTTTTCAGGGGGGTCAGTGCATAATTTTCCGCCATGTGGCAACTATAGACCTACGGTGTATCATTCAACAAGTTTATATAACCAGAAATGCATTTTCAAAATTCAGGGACCTAAATGGCACCCCACGATAAGTTTATGGACCTCTCATGCATTTAACTTAAAAAAACACTCTGACATTTACCAGGATTTACTTCTAAGAAACACCAAATTTTGTCCATGCCATCTTAATGGGCCCAATCTGTTGCTGGGCCGGTTTGACTTTGGTTAAAACATAAGAGACGCCCACAAGCTTTATACAAAAAACAAGAAAATTGTGCCGGGACGGCTCATTACGGACAACATCATTACGGCATGTATGAGTGTTTGCACTTCATGAAGAAGAAAAGGGCACGGGATAGTAGATGTTGAGCGGTGAAACTTGACATATGAAGAAAGCGTATGATCCTGTGGAGTGGAACTACTTACACAGGATTATGGTCAAGATGGGGTTTAGCCGAGGCTGGGTGGGTATGATCATGAGGCTGGTAACCTCAGTTTCATTCTCGGTGCTTTTTAATGGTGACATGTTGGAAAGCTTATCTTTTCTTGCTGGCAGCAGATCGATGGCCTTTTGTGCCTCTTAGAATCCAGAGTTCAGTCATTGAGCTTAAGAATGGTGGCTCCATCGGCGCCGATGGTGAGTCACCTTCTCTTTGCGGATGGCATCCTGTTGTTTTCAGGGTGACTTTGGAGAGTGTGGAGGAGGTGAGGGATGCCCTTTCTCCTATATTGTCCTGCTTCGGGCCAACAGATTAATATGGAGAAGTCATCCATCCATTTTGCTAAGGGTTGCAGTAACCAAATTCGTGAGGAGATTAAGGAGATGTTGAATATCCATACCGAGGCGTTGAATGGGAAATACCTAGGTAATGGGAGGGCGGGTGAGGTCCATCCGACCGTTTAGCTAGAAGAGGGGGGAGAAGGGCTAGAGTGGAGTGGACCAGGAAGAGCTGAGTATGTTTAGTGTATAATAGCAGGTTGTAAGCTGGCTAAATACTGAGGTGGAGGAGAAATAAGAGGAGAGAGACAAGAAGTGGACTATAAGCTTACAGCCAGCTTAGGCACAAGAACCAATAAACTTCATGAGAGAGACAAGTGAGCCATATATTAATGTGAAGAACTAACTACTATATAGGGGCTGAGAAAATGCTGCAAAGAATCTTACAGCCAACAGCCTGTTGTTATTATTAGCATTGCTCTAAGGCAATTCCATATGGTCAACAGAAGGAAAATAGAAACAAATAATCAATCACGTCGTCAAGGGAAGCAAGGGAAATTGATGGTAGAAAAATAACAATTAGTAGCAATCAAAGTGGACAAACAGTACTGATTGTACTGATTTCCTCATCGCCAAACACAAATGGTACTAATTTCCTCACCAAAATTAAAAAGGTTCTTTATGAGTGTCAAAATCTTACACACACCTACCACTGGCTCCAATGAGATCCCACCTATCGGAGGGAGATTACACGGGAGGTTGTCCTAAAAATACTCAGCTTTTTTATAGTGTATAATACAGATACTCCATTCTGGAATAGAAGATATTATACTGTCTTCTGAGGAAAATCCTGTTTAAATTCATATGAATAGAGGACAAGGGATTTATCATTTATCCTTCTCACTTATACCGCTGAGTATACTTCAAAATGGAATAGCACATGCATGTGTCAAATCGGATAATTTCTCCGTTAGAAAAAAACGGATATGTCGTTGTTCTGATATCTTTTTCTCACGATGGCTCCGTTCGCTTCGCTGAAAAAACAAGTCGAAACATTGTTCCCACTGATTGGTTGTGAGAGAAAAACACTGTTCCGACTGAAAAAACAAGCTGAAAAGTACGAATTATAAGAAAAACGAACAGGGCCAATGTCACAAAAGATGGAATGGAAATAGAATGAACAAAATTCTGCAACACTGCATATCAACCGAATTGAGAGAACAGAGTACTTATTTGGTGCTTAACCAAGGTTTCTCTCCCTGCTCCTCTGGACGAGTTCTCGCGGCGGCGGAGAGATGACGCCCCAGTGGTGTCTGCCTTGCCGGACTTGTCGTCGCCATCGCCCTTCCACCCGGCGCCCGGCGCAAAGAGCGACAGCAGCCTCGCCATGGCGCTCCTGACGCTCCCGCCCACCACACTGCTGGCGTCGTGGGCGCTGCCCTCCATGACGCGCACGGATGCCACCGAGCTCGTCACGTGCCTCAGCCTGTGCGACATGAGCAGCTCGAGGCGCACGTGCTCCGGCAGCCGCAGCGCGAACCGCTCCATCCCGCCGTCGTCGCTGGCGCTGTGACCCGTCGAGTTGGACCGCGGCAGCGCCTGCCGCCCCGCCGCGCGGCGGTTCCTCGCGAGGCGCTGGATCCTAGTCCAATCCTCTTCTTCCCCTTCCGCGCTTGCGCTTGCGCTTGCGTCGCCGATTAGCACGACAGCCGAGGGAACGGGAGACGAGTCCGGCGTTATCAGCGGCGGCGGCGGCGGTGGCGCCGTCTGGAGCTGCGCCGCCGGAGCTGTTGGCGCGTCGAGGACGCTGGCGCGGCACAGCGGGCAGGTGGAGTGCCTCTCGAGCCAAAGGCCGATGCACTCCTGGTGGAACGCGTGCGGGCACGTCGGGAGGAGGCGCAGGGCGTCGTCGTCGTCGAACTCGAGGAGGCAGACGGAGCACTCGAGCACGTCGTCTTCGCGCCCGTCCACGATCCGGTGCTGCCTCACCTCGCGGAAGAACACCAGCGGCAGCGCGGCGATCGCGGCGGCGTCAAGCCCTCCCTTGCGGCTGCCCCCGCCGCCGCGGGGCCACTCCGGTGCCGACGCCGCGTCCGGAGCCTGCGGGTCGTCGTCGGGGGCCCGGAACAAGCGGAGGCAGGCGAAGGCGAGAAGCACGACGAAGACGGGGAAGAATACGGCCATGAACACAGAGATGCTCATCACGTCGGCGATCATTGGGTTGTCGCGCGGCTCCGGGGACTGCGCCGCAGCGACGTATGCCGCAGAGGCCGCTGCCAACACAGCGGCGGCGTACATGGCGGCGTCACCAGGAGGCCGGGGCTAGGGTTTGGGCGGAGACGGCATGTGCGGCGGCGGGTTTGATTAGCGGCCCGTGAGGGTTTAGATGCCGAGAGCCCCAGATGACAGACTAATTGCGTGAGAAATAATCCAGCAGTTTCCTTTTTTTTTGCGAATTAATCCAGCAGAATTAATTGGCGTCGGCTGTACGCTAGGATGGCAGTTCAGATATTTCTGCCGTACGCGGTGCGCTCGTGCCGCGTTAACCAAGACAAGAATGGTTGGCAAATTTCGCATTTTGAAAAAAAAAATATTACTCCTTTTCTTTGAGTTACAAACTATTGTATTACAATTTACACTAAACGAACATATAACCTTTGAATGCTAATATAGCCTTTAAGATATTGCGGATGACCCTTTAAATCGTTGTTCGTTGCATCTCTCGACGAGATTCAGTGGCGTCATAGATGGCCTTGCCGACCCTAAGACAACCTCGATGTGCATCTCTCGACTGGTCTTTCCAGGAGGCGTTCTCGAGCTTCTTCAGCAAAGAACGAGCTTCAAATCGATTCTACCGACTGGCTGGTCGGTACATATTGGTTTCGGAGTTACTCGTTGCGTGATTAAGTCATGTGCGACCTCGAACGTGCTAGCCTTTGCTATCGTGTGATCCAAGATTCAATTCATCAGCATCAACACTATACAATGAGATTATCATATTCTAGAAGCAGTTTCAATGACATATCTAATTTGCAAATTTCATGTAGCAAATCTACGTGCTTTACGGGAGAGAAAATAGGACAGCTAATAAAACAATGGACATATATAGTAAATCATAGCAAGAGTAAGAATTCGTCATGATAAAACCTACTCATGTATACATAGGTTATTTCTACTGGTTAATTATCTTCGAACATAATTTAATTAGTTAATTTTTTTGAGAAACAATTACTAGTTAATTATCTTCGAACATGGAGTATATTGAGTATATGCCTTCAACAAATTTGCACAACCGCGCGGCCCGCCCTGTCCAACAAGTCATTTTCTTCTGAATGGACTAATCAGCCCAACAGGTAGCGTTTTTTATTCTATTCCACATTCCAGGACCAGATGCTTCCGTGACACGGACAGCATAATGAATTGAACGAATGGAAAAACACACACACAAAAAAAGGATTGATACGTTGGAAGCTGTGGTCCAAACCGTTTTGCCATTACCGTAAGAGGAAAATCAGGCAAGGAGATTTACCTATATGGCCCTCCTGGTCTAGCCGTCCACGAACGGCACGGCACGGTAGCCATCAGCCCATCACACGCTCTTACTTTCATTAGCAGCCACAGAGCCACTACACACATTTTACACATATCGACACATCCCGACGTTAAAGTCTCGGACCCGCGTTCGTTTTATCTCCGTTCCTCGTGTCATGAAAGCTACCTCTCCTCTCCTATCCTCCTACTCGTCGTCCACGAGGACCGACGACCCAATGCAAGTCTTAAAGTCTATCATCACGGCCTTCTCCGTCCACTTTTACTTTCACTCCCATCCGTCGCATATATATCAGTGCGTCTAGCTCGACACTCTTCCCCTCTTCCTTGGTCCCAATCCCATGGCGTCTCCCGGCTCCGACGATGGTGTCGTCTCCGCCGCTGCCGTCGTCTGCTGCATGTGCGGTGACCATGGCCTGCCGCGCGAGCTGTTCCGGTGCAACCTCTGCCGCCTTCGTACACAGCACAGGTACGACCATCAATCAATACTCCGATCGATGATGAGAAACCGCGCGCTCTCGGCAAGATTTTATTATTTGTTGGATTTTTGGAGGAGCCTTCCGCTGACAACGCATACGCATCCGTGATCAGATACTGCAGCGACCTGTACCCGAGGGTGGCGGGGCCGTACATGAGCTGCAACTGGTGCCTCAGGCAGGGCGGCGCCGCCGGAGGGGGCGACTCACCGTCACAGGTTAAGGCGTCGGCGACGAAAGGGGCCAAACGGAGGATCAACGGCGACGACCGCGATAGTGATGAGAGCGCCTGCTATGGATGCTCCAGGTCAGCGTTCTCGGCGGACCCTGGGAAGCCGATCAAGAAACCTAAGAAGGGCAAGGGCCGTGAAAGAGCAGTGCAGCAGCCGGAGCCGGTGGTTACGACGGTGTCTAAGAAAAGACAAACGGAGGTGCAGCCTGGCAAGCCGCGGTTCAAGGTGAAGGTGCGGCGGTACAAGCTCCTCGCGGAGGTGATCTGCTAGTCTGTAGGAGTAGATACATGGCTATGCTGCCTATGCAATAAAGGCCAGCGGCGAAGGCGATTAAGGTCCTAATTGAATTTCATGGCAAAACTTTAGCCCTATACTTTTAGTTTTTTTTTTCATGGGGATTCAAACACTGGGCTAAAAGTGAGTAAATAGCTAAAAATTGGGCTAAAATCTTTTGCTCCCAAAGAGGTTCTAAACTGGACTAAAGTCTCGGGGGGGCGCTGGACGCCCTATACCCCTTTCCGCTCGCATACATGGCTGTGCATGGATAATTAAATGAGGATAAATTAGTCATTATAGATTAGAGGACTAAAGTTTAGCCCATGATCCAAACAGCCCAGCAGGACTAAACTTTAGGGGCTAAACTTTAGTTCTTGACTAGTGATCCAAACACCACCTAAGCCGTCGTAGTTAACTTGGTTACGTACCCACACAATGAATGGTGTTGATGCATAGACCGGGCAATAGTAATTTTTGTGTTCTAACTAGCATTAAGGCTGGGTCTAGAAAAGTGGACCCTTGCTATTGCTCTACCCACAATGGATATAGTAAAAGCTAGCAATAAGTGGGCCCACTTTCTAATGAAAAAAAAACCACCAGCCATGTGTAGGGTGTTACACTCTCCGCCCCAAAATATCTCAATGTCGTTTTAGGTTTGTCTTAAGACAAACCATTTCAAGTTTAATATATTTATACAAAACTAATGTTTATGATACCATATAAGTATTATTAAAAATATATATATATTTTTATATATTATACCTATTTGGTCTCATAATATTGATGCTCTTTTGTATATGGTTGATCAAATTTAAAATGGATTTATATAGGACAAACCTAGAACAGCAGTTATTTTAGAACTAAGGGAGTACTTGTGAGTGAGAAGGATGAGAGGAGATGGAGACATAATTTTTTATTCGCATGGTTACGCCTTAAGTTTGTGGCTCGCCTTAGAGGCTTTTTACTCATGGTGTATCTCCATAATGGTTATTGCTCATGTATTTATTGCTTGGTCATCTTTTCTCAACATTGTGGATGACCAACAAATCTCAACCATAAAGAGCCATAACCTAAGTACAAGCATACACAATAGTTCCAGACATCATATTTTCTTTTAGATTAAAGTCTACTACTGATCCCTAAACTTGTGCCGTTGTGTCACCCCGACCCCTAAACTTTCAAAACGATCATCTAGGTATCTAAACAATGTTTGGGGTCTCATTGCAGTTCTACCAAAATTCCATACAGTACTCAAACTTGTTTAGTTGTGTCATTTTGAGCTTGAACTATCGACCAACACATCTAGCTTGTCGCCATTGCCACTGTCAGCCTCTCCACTCAAGGGGATAGGGCCAGCATCCACGTGAGCCCTTACCCCGTTATCGCCCCTACCAAGCAACCACTCTCCTCTCTCTTCCCCTTGCCTTGAGCTGACCAGCGGCGGTTGAGTTTGACGTCGTAGCAGAAGTTGGTAGCCAACTTGAACACCTCGGATGCGGCGCACGTTTGCCTCTAGCAACATATATATCCAGTTCCTCCTCTTAGATCTCACAATGCTAGGAGGCCAAGTGTTGAATCTCATTGTGACCATGATCGAGAAAAGATCATGGTGGCAAGATGTACCTACCACTGCGCCGACCAATTGTTGCTCCTAGACCAGGTGTTGATGGGGTGCTGAACTTCTGCTCCCCCTAAAAGTGTGCATAAAAGTGATGTTCGATGTTCACCGGAGGTGGAGCACCCAAGTTTAGATCATGTAACGGCTATTTCTTGACACATGTCTCAGTGACTATGGGGATTTCGAAATGATAAACTCTGGTGACACCATCAGAGCTCTCTAATGGCCTCTCATCCTACACATTAAGTGGTTAACGACTAGTTTCCTGGGTGGGCATATAAAAAGTGTGTGGCTAGTTCTATTAGAACTCTTGGACTACCTTGCTAACAATCACATAAATTAGAGCTCAAGAAACCTCTCCACTCACATGTGCTTTCTAGAGATTGCATTCTTGGTGAGATTGAAGTGATCTATGACATTTTCTTTGAGAGATAGCATCTAGTGGCACTAGTAATTGTTCCAGCTGTGGGTTTTCTTGTTACTCTTGGTGGTTTTCACCACCTAGACGACTTGGAGCAGCAGTGACTCTGTGATGCACTCAAATTGAAGATTGTCAAGTGCTCTTGAGGTGATTGTGATGGGCTATTAGGCTCATGCCTGTCAAAGAGGTGAAGAACCACTCTAGTGGTTGCGAGGCTTGGATAAGCACCTTGTGATCAAGCTGACTCAAGACAAGCGCTCACGTCGTAGACAACCATGAGAGGTTGTTGAGCTTGTAGAGGAACGATGATCTTTGGGCTTGCCTCATCATGGACGTAGGTGACCGGCAAGTCATCGAACCACATGGATATATATTGTATCATCCCTCTTGTGTGGTATTGAGTTCCCTACACTTGTGCTTTTACTTGATTTGATCAATTCATAGAGTAGAGATATTAGGCTTGTCATCCTAGGGTGCAAAACTATCTAGTTTATCAATTATAGTGACTTAGTGAAAGGCCTTAGTTTGGTTTTAGTAATTGAGTGACAACCTAGGTGGACTAATATGTATTTGATGTGAGATACATAGGGATTACTACATAGGTACACTATGAGAAACACTTAGAGCCATGGTGGAGAGGTGGCTTGGTGATGTTGCAAGTGCTCAAGTAGTGCTATGGAGGAGCTCATTGAATATGAGACATGACATGATGTCATGTGGATAGGTAGAGAAGATCAAGAGACATGGTATGGCTGCGATGGATCAGGTTGCAAGTGTGAAGGGCAAGCTAGATGCTCAGGAGCGCTGGACCGTTGAGGCCGTGAAGCTCTAGTAGAGAGCTTGGCGATGATGGACCAATGCAACAGTGAAGTGCAAGTGAAGTTTCGATCGATGAACCAACAAGGCCACATGTTGATATGAAGTAAATCATATCATCTACGAGATATCAAGAGGCTTTATGCAGGATGATGGAGGTTGGATGCTTGTGTGGCATCCCTGGCGGAGATGAAAAGGAATGTGCAAGGCAAAGATATATTTGTAGGGTATTTCATTTCACCGGTCAATGGTTGAGTAGAGAAGTGCTTGATCGGGTTTAGGATACTATCAAGAGGGTTTTTCTTGTGAGCTAAATGGTTATCAAGTGCCACTAGGTGAGGTCTAACTCGTGTTGCATTTAGATCGAGTGGCATGGTGAGAAGCAAGTGAAAATCCTTTGAAAAATGTTTGTGAATGGCTAGCTCGCATGCAAGTTGGTGGAATGTTTGAGGATTTAGCACATTTGCAAAAGGGTTTGGAATGGAGCTCGTTGTGCTGCCTATTGTAGCATCGGACATGTCATGTTTGTTCACCGAACATGACCACTGGATAGGTGTTGTAGTGCCGAGTGTCGAGTAGTTTTTGAGGCATGCAGCTTGGCGTCCGATGTGCACCAGACATAGGAAACAGACGTGTCCGGTGCTAGTTTGACAGCGCGCAGGAAACATTTTGTGGACACTAGACCTGTCTTGTGTGCCACCAGACATGTGCACTGGACCATTCTACTAGAGAGGTGTTTTAGGTGCGTTTTGGGCTGTTCTATGCACCGGATCTGTCCTGTGTGCACCGAACATGTGTCTGTGTAACGACTATTTTTGTAGTCGAGGCTAAACCGATTAGTTTAATTCCACATTTATTTCAGTTAGTCGGCACGATTAAGTTTTAGAAACGACTCACCCCCTCTAGTCGGCTCCTTATTCATAACACTTCACCTAGTTCCTTTGCTTCATACTAGAATTGTATAAGTGTTGATCATGGGCTTGCTTTATGATACAAATAGGGAGTGGTTATTAGGACCTCCATTTAGTCTAACAGGTTTGTCTAGTGTTGTGTCTTATACAAAAATTTTATCTAGGCTATTCATCTCCCTCTAGCCATCCAAAGATCCCTTTCATACACCTAGTGTAGGCATGTATGCTCCTTTCTCCCTCACCCTCAATCTCTCTCAACCTCTCACACACGATGTTGTGAGATGCCGCCTCGAGCCAACGAGTTGCTGTGATGGTCGAGGGACAAAAGATCAAGGTCGATCCCCCTGATGACACGCCGCCGCAAATCGCCTAGAGACGTTGAACCCTTAACACGTGTTGAAGGACGCCGCCGTAGGAAGCCGAGTTTGCGACGTGTTGTGCCATGATGTTGTTGAAGATGAAAATTCCCATCTGGTTCATTGTGGGATCAGCACGCACACCCCCTACCTAGCGCGCCACTGTCGACGAAATCTGATCGGCAGTCTACCGAGGGGTATACCCACGGTAGTAGATGATCGATGGAGGTGCGTGTAATAGGAACTGGATGGTGACACAAGGCGTAGAGACAGCGATTTAGACAGGTTCGGGCCGTCTGATCGACGTAATATCCTATGTCCTATGTCTTTGTTGGATTGTATTGAATATCAGATGATTTTGAGGGGGTCCCTGCCCGCCTTATATAGTTTGGGGGACAGGGTTACAAGTCGGTTAGATCTAGATCTATTCGGCTATATGGTAAGTATTTACAAGGAATACGATATCTATCATATCTAAACAGATCCTTCTTGTTGACAAAAGATGCTCGATAGTCCACCGAGGGGTATCCCGCGATGGTAGATTTGTCGGTGGAGGTGCGCGTAATCAGGAACCAGATGGTGACACAAGGCGCAGAGACAACGATTTAGACAGGTTCGGGCCGTCTGATCGATGTAATACCCTACGTCATGTGTCTTTTGTGTATTGTATTGAATATGGGATGTATGGATCTTGTCCGCTAGGGGACCCCTGTCTCTCCTTATATACTCTGGAGGGGTAGGGTTACAAGGAAAGTATTCTATTTGGTACTATACAATATCTTGCGGTGCACGTCGAGCAGCGCCATGTACGCCTTGATCTTGTGGGCTGGGCCACCTCTGATGGTGCGGCCCGTGTCTTGTCTTGTGGATAC